TTAAAGGTGTGTGCTACCACCACCTGGCTTCCTTCTTTTTTTAAATACTGAATGCCTTCCTCTGTTGCTCTCCACTGTAAAATTTTGGAGACAGGATCTCTCCCTGAACCTAGCGCTTCACTGATTGGCTACCTGGGCTGTCCAGAGAGCCCAGGGATCCTCCTTTCTCTACCGTCTCAGAGCTGGGGTTACAGATGTCCATCCACTGCTCCCAGCCTTGTACACGAGTGCTGGGATCTGAACTCAGATCCTTGTCGTTGTGTGGTGTGAGTGCTGTACCCACTAAACCATTTTCCTCCCTGTCCCCAATTTTGTAACACAGCGAGATATTGTTTCATCACTCAGTCGCCCTGGTTGGCTTTGTTTGAATTTTTGATGTTCCAGTCTTTGCCTCCCCAGGAGCTGGAATTTCAGGTATGTCATCGTGCTTGGCAGCATTTAGGATATGATTGGAAACTCTTCCTAGATGGTGCAATCTTAACTATAGTTTGAAACAGTGTCTTTCAAAGAAGCTGCTACTGTGATTGCTTTGAGTCATTGAATGTCGTTGTAAAAGAGGACATAAAAATAACAGCTAATGTTTTATAAGTATAAATGCTGGCCTCTTCCGAGTAGTTCACACTTAGCTCTTGACTCACAGTTACTGGGAGGGAGGTAGAGTATTGTTCTGCTTTGGCAGATGAAAAACTGAGCTGCAACGCTTAAGCAATTTGTCCAAGGTCAGTGGAGCAGGGGAACAGTCAAGCCGAGATTCCATCCAGATAGTCTTGAGTGGGAGCTCATTTGTTCTGGCAGGGTTCTAGTCGGCACTGGGACTGCTCATGAGCAGTGATGTCTCCCTTACAGTTCTTCAGTCAGTCAGAAGCAGTTTCCCCCAACAAATAGACCCCCAGGGTTTGAAATTTGGTCGCTATTGTATTTTTCCCAAGCAGATACAATCTATATTAGCGAATTGAGACACAGCAGCGGGGAAGCAGTGAGTCTGTGCCCCCTTAGGTTTAACATGCGCACCACCCCTGAGCATGGCTGCTGGGTTAAACGAGAGCCTCCTCCCTGGACCTAACTGCAGGACTTCCTGGTATGGTCTAGGATTCAGATCAGATCGGGTATTACCATGCTCACTTCTTACCACGAAATCCTTTGTATTTATTTAAGAAGCTTTCTCTGGCGAGGCGATATGGAGATGAATTAAACCACTGAAGATAAAACTTTATCTTGGACTCAGCGAGGGAACTCCTAAAGGATAGTATTAATGTTTCTCATTAAAATGGTAAAGCTCAATTAGGTCAGATTATGAGGACTTTGGAAAGTCAAATATTCTAAGAGAGACTTCGGCGATCACACTTTATAGCAGTAAGATTCCATTTGCACATATGGGCTTTAGCATTTTTATAAAATCAGTTTAGTCCAATTTTAAGCAGATTCTTTATTATTTCACTTTATTGAGACTGCCATCCTAAAATTTATTAAATGTCGAGTCTTCGTATGTTTCTAGTGCACTGTAAAGTAAGGGTGCTTCCAGTCATGCTTTTGAATTTTTTCTTTAGGAGAAATGAAAGAATTGTTAGAACATAGTTACGTGAGCATTGAGATTGTCAATGGGGAAAGAGCACGGGATCTTAGAGACAAACACGATTGTGATGGTCTTGGTAGTTAGTTTAGTTGCTTATTTGTTCCCACCTTCTCTCTCTATTTCATTATTTTTACTATCGTTATCGGATACAGGCTAGTCTCAAAAACATAGCCCTGGCTAGCTAAATTCTCCTGCCTCAGCCTCCCACGTGCTAAGATTACGTACCTGTGCAGTCATCTCCTCCCCTCCCCCAGAGGTGTTTTTGAGCTCTGGGCAGGGTAGTGTTTATCAGGATGAAGGATTCCTATGCTGAGACACATTTGCATCCTACATCAGAGTCTTTCATCAGACCACAGATGAGAGAATCTTATTTTTAGATTTTCCCTTTTTAGATTTTCTTTGCTGTTTTCTCTAGTCACTTTATGCCTGTCCTACAGTAGACCCTCCTCATCTTGTCTCTGGGACTTTTCCAGTTGGTACTTTGTGAAGGATCGTTCGCTAGTCCATATTGGTTCATGGTATAGCAGGCTTCCTGAAGCGTCTGAGCCCTAGGGGGTTTGTTTATAGTGTGAAGCAACTCTGTATCTTTTTTGTTTTAAGCTTGTGTAGTTACAGAGTCCTAGTGTCCCCTTCCAATGACTTTAATTAGAGTTGATGTCCTTTGTAGAGAAGACTTGCTATTTTCAGAGTCTTTAGCTGTTCAACTGAATGTTGGATAAAGCCTTAAATGTCATAAAATGTGGTCTTCAAAATCCTCTGATTTTTGGCATTGGCATGGATAAGAGTCGGTTTTAGAGTGACGAAACCTGTACAGTGTGAAAGATCAGATGGATCAAATGCTCACAGTTCCAAGGTCAGGGAAGGAAGCTTGTGGTTCACATTGTTCCTGTAATTAAGCTGCAGACGTTCTTCAGAAGAGCACAGTGCTCCCAGGCTGCCTTTACAAGCAGGTAGTACCAGTCCGCACTCTGTGGAGAGAGCTCTCGGCCTGTCTCCAGCTAGTCAGCCAGGTCAAGTGGGAGCTGAAATGAGTGACTGGCTCTTTCTGTTGCACTTGAAGCATGACCGAGTATCTACTTTGGAGCTGTTATCAAGCTAGAACTTGTCCAGGCTTCTCCTGAAGTAGACTTCAGGAGAGCAGCGGCAGCAGGCAAAGGTTTGACTGTTAAGGGTGTGGAAACCTTCTTTGTAACTCTTTAGATCTCAGGTGTGTTGGATGCTTTTGATACCTTTCCTACAACACTAATCCCATCCGGAATGAGCACCAGCCTTGGGGGATTTATGCATGTATTCCCTGTACCTACATGACTTATACCAGCTGGGGTGTGTGTGTGTGTGTGTGTGTGTGTGTGTGTGTTTATGGGAATAGAATGCAAGATCTTAGTGTGTGTGTGTGTGTGTGT